ATATCAGAAAAAGAAAATATAGTTGTGATGTATCAATTTACATAGTCAATTTCTTTAACACCTTTCTTTTAAATTTAATAACGTAAAAAAATAATTTCAGCATTAAGTGGAAATGGATATTAGTCATTTAGGTCTAAATTTATCTATAATATCTTCCTTTTTCTCTTTAATTTTTTAAACTGCCCTTTCTGTTTGCTTATGTAAGTCCTGCTTCCAAAATTCATCTTTTCTGAGTAAATTATTTTTCTGAAGATATTTCTTAATTTTGTAGATCACATAAATTGGCAGCAAATCATACTGTATGCTAAAGTATTATTTCTTAAACATAGTAGGATACCTTAAGCTCATGCATTAAAAGTGAAATATATAGAAAATTCAGCAAAACAAGAAGTGTCTCTGATACTCAAGTAGAGGCAAACTTCCTAATATACAACCATAATAAGAAAATTTCATTAAGGCACTATGTCTGGGTTCCTATCAAAGGGTCTAGAGATACAGTGGTCTATGGTCAGATTCACACAAATTTATTTCTCATTGTTTCCTTGTTGATACTAATGATGCTTATGGGACAGTCTATCTCAATCATTTACTTATTTTTTTTCTGATCAGGGCACTGTTGATAGTCAATAATGTTATAATTCAATTAAAACAAGATGGCAGAAAGGATTTTTCTTCTGGCTGCCTAGTGATATGTTTGTAATTTCCAGAAACTAAGGTTTTGTTATATAAAAGCTCTCTCACTAGTGAGATAGGATTAGAAAAAAAAACATAAAATTTGACACTTTATTAAAGTAAAAGTATTTTTACTATTAATATACAAATGGTGAAGAGTGACAGTTTTGAAATACCATAAGCCATACTTTCAATGTCTTTCATAAATACAAAACTTCAACATTTGCAGTATACTTTTTACAGTTTAGACATATATATACAGCATTTCATAGGGACACACTATATTGAAATAATAAGAAAACTTGATAGTTAACTATACACAATTTGGATAAAAGGTATACGTTAAAAAATATATGATGTCATGTTTTATTATTTGAGAATAAAGATAGAATTTCCATGCCTCCAAATGTGTTTTTAAACTCTTTTGTAATTGTTGATTTTGTTCTCAAAGGGTTAGAGACAAATCCTTAAGAAACAACATTTTTTGAAAATGCAAAATAGTTTTTTTTTTGTTTTTAATGATATCATTTTAATTTTAATTATAGCACGGTGTTAGTTTAAACATCATAGTTTCAAGTTGAATTATAGAGTTTATCTCTGTTACATGATCTTTCTGATGCTGTTAGAGTTTTGCGTTTGCTCTACTTTCATTGGCATAACTATTTACCTAAAAATGATTTTATCCCTTGATTAAGCATTTCTGTATCTTAAGTCTTCTGTTTGGTATTGATAGAAATGCTCCAAACATCATTTTCTTATTTTCTTCCATTCAAGGCTAAAATTAGACTCTAAAGATATGGGATTGTAAATTAGAAAAGAATAAAGTTGTGAAATATACATTTACATTGGAAATTTCTATAATAATCATCATGAACAATGCTTGGTCAGTAATGAGAAAATTATGTCAAACTAAGATTAAAGAAATGATATTAACTAATTGATTTAAATTATTATAAAACTATGTAGTAATCATGAAAAGTTTGTAAGACTACTAAATATGTCCACAAATAAATATTCACCTTTATATATTATATATATATATCATAGACTTATATGAAAAAAATAGTTATTATTTTAGTAATCTTGATAGTGTTGATAAGTAGCTCCATCTACATGGTTGAACACAATTTAAAATAATAAAAGAGTGAAGCCTGGAAGAAAATTACATGTACTCAGCACTTACTATTTCTAGGCTTTTTATAATATTTTTATTTATAGAGCAGTTGTTTCATATTAGAATATTATTGACTATATATAATATTATCTTTAACGATTTAACTTCTGTGATTAAATTTTAATTTTCAACCAAACACAATTTAAGTTTAGCATATGAAATTCTACCTATATGCTATTACAGTTTTAGATAGACTATTCCAAAGGATTAATAAGGAGTGGAAATTGGAGATATATAAAAAAATTCTCATTGTAAGTGATTTCAGATTTAATGAAATGTTTTGAAAAGAAACAGTCCCTCTAAGTTTTCCATGAGAAAATCAAACTAAGCATTTTCATCATTTTCCATGAAAAATAATATAATTTTAAATAGCTATTATATGCATCACCAATATTTTTAAATTAAAAATGTAAACTTCTCTTACTATTTCAATTATAGATATTTTGATATTTGTTTATCTTGCCATCACATGGATGATTTGTGATCTCCACAAAACAGTGAATACCCAAGTGACCCCATAGTAACCGCCTGGTTGTAAATAGCATCTGTTGTATTTCTTAGAGCTAACATCACAATTTTCCAAATACAGACTTATCATCTAGAAAAACAATACAGATCCAACTAAAGTATCTTATGAATGGACTAAAGTGTTGTTTTATTATAAATAAAAATAAATTTGATTGTATATATATTGTGGGTTACAGTAAAGTTTATTAATTGATTGTAAAAAAATCCAGGTTTAGTGTCATATGCATGATCAAAACACATATAGTAGTTGTAGTTTTTCTTTATAGGAATGTCATGCTATTATAAAGGCACAAATACCTGTTAATTATTCAAAATAAAGAGATGATTTTAATATACAAATAATTGCTGTAACTTATAATTCATTTGATTACTAATATCTATTTTATTTATATAGATGCTTAACACAAAATTTAAGATTCATATGAAGTTTGTTGGGTCAAAACTCTTTTGAAATAATGATATAGGTATTAAGATTAAAAAATAAAAGTTTTAAAGACTGTTAATGTTAGACATTAGTATAAATAGAACAGTAATATATCTTATCCACAAAATAATAAATTAACCTGTTGAAATCACAATTTTGATGCATTCAAACATCACTGTAAATTATTTTGAAATATCTGTGTCAGTTTTAAAAATACAACATGTATTAAAATTCAAATAGTAATTTTTCTCTCTCGGGGTGTCAAATATAGATTGTCATTTTATCAGCTCCTAACCTTACATTTGCGCCTTTTTAAATTGGTGTAAGGTTCAGATTACCTTAACAATACTTAAATTTTGTCCAGTGGACATTTTGTTATAACATGGAAGTGGACTTTCAGATAGTAAAAGGTACATAAATTCATTTAGACTAAAATAGAATTAAAAAATAAAAAAATCATTTCAGGCTTACTTATAAATTGAGAATTCACTATATGGCATTCTCATTTGGAAACTTTACAAGCTGTGTGATTAGGAGAATTTCTTTGAAATTTTAAAAAGTTTACCACATCAATATGTTGTCTGCAGAGCATTGATTTCTAAGATACCACAAATTCAGCATCTCTGAAACACCTGAAAGCATCCATGGACTCTATCCAAAGTTATCCAATGGCTCCATATGATGACAAAAGATTTATGACTATGTGTATAAATTTAATTCAGTTTTTTTTACATAGAAAAACTGAAGACATGATAAAATTAAAGCTTCAAATTGAGAAAACACAAAAGATATTTTGTTCTTATTTCTCTGTTCTTGTGTTATAGCACAAATATGACAATTCGAAACATGCTAAATTGCTTTACCAGTCATACAAATTATTTTATATCATTAATTTAAAACCATGTCATTCTATTGAGGAAAAAAATCAGTGTTCATGGCTATTGCTTCATAGACACCACTACTAAGCCTGTTCACTTACACAAACAAATTCAAGTATTTTGACTAATTTTAGTACATTTGGTACAAAGTAAAACAAGCAGAAAGAAGTACACCTTAAAGAATGAAACTAAAATGACCCGGCAAACATAAGCTAAGCATCGTAGACAAATCAATCGAGAAAATGTTTGGTAAGCAAGTTTGAAAAGGGTTAAACTGGTTTGTTTGCTTATTTTAGATAGACACCATTCGGATTCTTAATTAGGCACAGATTTCTGTTTTGGGCTTTTTCCCTCTCTGTCTTTCTCTCTCTCTCTCTTCAGAATATGCCAGGATGGGCATCAAGGAGAGATCCCTGCAATAACCTAGAATTTCCCACAAAGCACTGTGAAGATTAAAGCGTCTTTCCATGCAGTTGGGCACAGTTGGTCTAGCTGACAGTCAGCAGGTGAGGTAAAAGATACAATAAAACATTTATCTCTCCTTGGACGGCAAGTTTAAGCACTTTACCAAGAGAAGCATTCCAGAGTGACACTAATGTTGTATCTAATTTTAAAGAAATTACCTCACAGTATAAGAGCAGGGCCATCTTCAGTGTTAAAAATATTCATCCAATGAACTATGAGAATGTGGTCTCAAATGCACCAATATTGGAGCTATTCACTTGGTACCAGAACACCAAAGTCTGTGAGGAAGAGGGAGACTACAGTAGCTTTAGGAACTCTGACTTAAGAAATCATTTAACCCTGCTCCCCACCTAAGTATATTGATAGCTACAAATCTTTTTTTTTTTCCTTTTACATACGTTAAATCATAGTTCAGACTTTGACCTCAGGGAGTTTGCATAGCTTGTAAGTTAGTAACTATCATATTCTTGTGTAGTCCTTAAGAAATAATATTAGAAAGTCTATATAGAATAGTTAAATGATTGTTTTAACTGTAGCTGTTTATTAAGTACCTTAAAATTGGTGTAAAATGGATTTTAAAATGTACAATTTGAAAATAAGTCAATATTAGCATTTCAGTTCATCAATCCTCTTGGAACATTTGAATGTTTAATTAATTCACTCTAATATATACTTTCAATGTTATTAGCCACTTTCATTTAAAGAGGGACACATAATAATAATAATGATTACCTAAATCTATATACCAAAACATATCTAATATGACTCGAAGTACTTAAAAACAATTTTATTTTTGATAAATTATATATAAATAAAAATAATCATGTATTTATAAATATATCAAGAAAACATATTGATATTTTCCCATTTAAATTCATTTTATTTGAAGCTGAGGGCAGAAATCAATACCATTTTTACTTGTAATACATTTACGTTTTGTGTAATCCACTGTGAGTGAATATGGTATACATAAAAAAAGATTTAGGGAGTTTTTCTAATCTAATTTTACACACAACTAATCTTCTTTCTGATATGTAACAGTTTAGGCCTGGTATCACTGTATCCAAGATCAATGTCAAAAATGCAATGTGGTCATAATTTGAAACGAGTTCTCTAACATTTTTTCACTCTCTAATATCTGTAAAAGATAACTGACTGGCTTCTTCCAGCCTGGGTTCCCTGAAATTTTCTTGATAAAAAGTATAACCTTTGTTATGTGCCTTCATCTTAATCTGAAAGCCATTTTAATAGTGTGTTTGCCCAAGATAAGATTCATAAACATGCAGGGCTTTTGTACACATTTATCTCACAATAAGTTTGCTCTGCCTCTATCACAGCCTAATATTTTTGAGAGCTGAAATACATTTGTTGGTGCTACATGAAAAAAAAATTTAAAAAGAAAAGCCCTTAAGCCATATAATAAATTGTAACACTTCAGTCATAGAATCAAACTGATACCCAAAACTGGTGCCAATCAAGACTTTATACTGAAATACTTAACAAAACCAACAACCACAACAGCAATAACAGAAGGAAATGAACTGTGACAGGAGGAATTGATCATATGTATATGTGTACAAGCTATTCCAAGCTAGACGTTTTCCAAGAAATTAAGGTCAATGGAATAGTTTTGGTCAAAGTGTCACGGCAATCCAATTGCTCTTTGTGGTGCTAACCAAGGTGCTGAAACTTGTGGTCATGCTTTGCCATCATCTTCTTTAGACTGGATGATGTCATTAGACACTTTAATTTCTATAGTCTCTGCATTTAGGACTTCTTTTCCATTGTCTTCTTTTAAAGGCAGTTTTCTGGAAATGAACAGAGAGATTACAAACTAAATTTCTAGATATAATTTAAAATATGTTTCTAACCATTTCAATTATTGAATTTCATTTTGCAATTGAAACACCCTATATTTTACAGAGAAAAATATAAGTTTATTCAAATAGTATTTTCTTCTTTGAAATTATAACATTTTTCCTTCCTAGTCCTTCCTGCTAGCATTCTAATATATTTTGAATTGTTATCCTTTAAATCCTTAGCCTCTTTATTTACATATGTTACATGCATATGTATATGTGTGTGTTTGAATTTAGAAATTGATAAACTAAATGCATGTTGCATGTAAGACAGACTTTGGAGGAACTAGAACCCAGAATAGTGTGGGTTGAATTGTAGCAGTCTCACATCCACATGTTAAAATCTTAGTTTTTAGTAACTCAAGAGCATGATTGCATTTGTACAGACGGCCATTAAATTAAGANTAGTTTGCATTTGCCATTACCATCATAAGAAACAATTTGTAAATATAGGTGAGCATAGCTGTTCATTGTGGATAACTTTGATTTTATAATTTAAGATTAAATTAAAAATAAATTGCCAGATGATGGTAGTCATCCTAAATCCTTTCACTCAAGAGGCAAAGGCATGAAAATCTCTTTGAGTTTGAGGCCAGCCGGGTCTACAGTGTGAGTTTTAGGACAGCTAAGGTGACACTGAGAAACCCTGTTACAAACTGCCTTAGCTCCCTCAAGAGAGATTTTTCTGATTCAGAGGTAGCAGAAAGAGAAAAAAAAAAAAAAAAAAAAAAACTGTGTGGTTTCAAAATGGCAGCTTCCTGGGCCATGCTAACAGCATGAACTCTGGCTCTTTCCAGAGGCTGAGCATTTGAATGGTGCTTGTGAGAAGTATATGGCAAGTTACTTGGTGGAAGCATAAGCCTACTAATTACTAGAGTTCATGTGGTAAGTGTGGCTCCCAGCTGGATGTCTCAGAGGCAGTGAATAGACCTCTGACATGTAGGGCTGGACAGAGCCAAAAGGCAAAACAGCCTTAGTGCTAGCCACACTGCTTTGCATTTTAAGAAATGTCCCAGTCAGAAAAGGATATACAATAAAGACAGATTCAGATTTTTTTAAAAAAAAAAAGACCTCTAGATGGATCACAATGTTGTATAAAAATAAGTAGGCTTGGGAGAGAGAAGGAAACGAATATAGGCAGTTTTAAAGGATGTAAATGGTTATAAAAATAAAACAGTCTTTAAAGAGACAAAGTACAAACAGTCGTAAATTAGAAGGACTAAAGAAAAATAAGCTATGCAAAGATGGAAATTACATAGCAAATCTGGATTACTCATATTACTTTGTTTTTCTTGAATTTTGACTGTGAAGGAACTAAGGACAGTGGGACATTTCATTGTATGGGCTGCTAAACTAAGCCAAAATATTTTAGAGGAATCTTGATGTCAAAATTTGGGTCTAAGGATATAGTGCTTTGGAAAAGAGGTTCTAATTTTGTTTCCACAGAAAATGAGAACCTGCGGATTCCTACCAAACTAATGTGTTTGATGGACCAAAACCTCTCAAAAGGTCTTCGTCAATTCTCAATTACTTCACCCAACAAAAAAAGAAGGAAGCAGTTTGGAGAGAATTATGATCAAATTCCCAAATTCTGTCTATAAATGTTTGTTTACATTTAAATGGTGATATGCTATAGAGATGGATACCTTGTATTGGCATAGATTTTGGTTTATTGATGCAAATTTAAGGCCAATTTTGTTATATGTATATTTCTGCTCTTAATTAAGGTATTGTGTTTGTGCAGCTCGTTTAAAATTGTAATGCATAATTAAGAAATACAGGTTAATAGATAGTCATCTATAATAGTCAAGTTTGTAGTTATGTCAGTTAGGTTTTCTAGATATATAGAAATATATTTGATTTAGATAGATATTCTATAAATCTTTCAGTAATCTTCAGAATATGGCATTTAAAATGTTTTAAGAGCATAAGACTTTCTATGACAATGCGACATATCTGGTACTGGCAACACCACTCTACTTCAAGAGGATGATGGGCATCAAAGAGGCTCCTTCCATAGTTTTTAGCCATTTGGGCAAGAAACTGCTCATGCTTGAACTTTTTGACTGGAGTTGCAGGACCCATAGTAAAATGACCACTGAAGCTTCCTAAAGAATGTGAGACAGTCCTTCAGGGTCCCTGCTTCATGAAAGAGTCTGAAAGACATTCTGCAGGACACAGAAAAAAGTGACTAACAAACTGCCAATATATACAGAGCTGTCTTTGAAATTTCCTGGTCCAAAGAAAGGTCTACCAGATACTATGAGCCTGTAGACTGAAGATGGATTCCTAGAAAAATGTTACAGAAGAACTTTGGGTGACTGTTCAGGTAGCAAGTTGTTTTTCTAAATTCTAAAGTTTTAGAAGTTGCTGAAACACACTCCTTTTACTTAGGTAATATTATATTCTTCTGTGGTCTTCGATGTAATTGAAGAATAGATAGTTATAATTATAGTTTTGCTTATTTATGATAAAAGATAAAGTATTTATATATATATATATACATATATACATATTAACTATTATTCTTGCTTGATAACTGTTTTGTTATATGTAGTTTTACTATGCTAAAGTTAAAACCTTCCTTTTTATTTAAACAGAATAGGGGAAATAGTGTGGGAAGTCCTTCTGTATATGTGTTGCTTTTTTGATTAATAAAGAAGCTGCTTTTGGACAACGGCTTAATAGAATATAGCCAGGATGGAAGAGATATATATATATAGAGAGAGTAGGTTGAGTCAGAGAGAAGCCATGTATCTGCCTGGAGGAGACAGACATGCCTGAATCCTGCTTGTAAACCACAGTCACATGGCAATACACAGATTTATCAAATAGGTTAATTTAAGATATAAGAGCTAGCTAAAAATACACTTAAGCTATTAGTCAAACAATACTGCAAATAATATAGTTTCTGTGTGTTTATTGTGGGAGTAGGCAGGACAGAAACCTCTGACAACAGTGGATAAATTTGATTTCATAATTTAAGTTTAAATTAAAATAAATTACCAGATGGTGGTAGTCATCCTTTAATCCTTGCATTTGAGAAGCAGAGGCATGAAGGTCTCTATGAGTTTGAGGCCAGCCCAGTCTACAGAGTAAGTTCCAGGATAGTTAAGGCTACACTGAAAAACACTGTCACAAACTACCTCCAAAATAAATAAATGAATACAATAAAATAATTAATTTTTTGAATTATTAAAAGCCTAAATCCTGACTTATGACCACTACTTGGTTTATCATCTCTAATAATTAGCACATGAGACTGACCTGAACTCTTTATATATGTGTCACAGTTGTGTAGCTTGGGCTGCTTGTGAGACTTCTAGCAGTGGAAGTAGGGGCTGCCACTAACAAGTTGACTGACTTTTACGAATCAGTTCCTCATACTGCATTGCCTTTCTCAGTCTTAAAACAATGGGAGGAGCTAAGTCTTATAGCAACTTGATATACCATGCTTCGTTGGTACTCATGAGAAGCCTGCCCCTTTCTGAACAGAAACAGAGTAAGAGTGGATGGGAGTCATTGTGCAGGAGTGGAAAGGGAATGGGAGGATAGGAGGAGAAAGAAACTGCATTCGAGATTTAAAATAGAATACATTTGATCAATAATAATAAAAATAATAACAAATAAGTGGGTGGCATGCCATTACAGTTAAAAATATTATTTAAGTCACCAATACCAATATTATTTTGAAATTAAAGGAAATTACTATTATTTATAAAGTTAATTCTTATATTTTATAATTATATATTTTTGGGCATTTTAGTATTATTTATATTTTTATTTTATAATATTAATGAGTATATTTTTGAGAGTTGTTTCTTACAATGAAACAATACCTGCTTTTTAAAAGATGTATTATTTATGTATATGAATGTTTGCCTACATATACATATGTGCACTGTATGTGTCCCTGGTATTTCTAGAGTCCAGAAGAATGTGTAAAGTTTCCTGAAATTGGAGTTGCAGATGGCTGTGAGGCATCATGTGGATACTATCTGGGAACTGAACATATGCCCTCTATAAGAGAAACAATTGATAGTAAACACTGAACCGTGTCTACAGTTTTCTTGTTTTTTTCAATGAAATTAAGATAGCATTATTAAATTTTAATTAGAGAATATTGAATGAAAATTCCCTTTATTTGTATTACAACATTCACTAGTTCAGTATTCCATCTTATGCATGCTACCTTGGGAACTAATACTTCCTTCTTTGACTTCCTTCTAAATGTTCACAAATATGATTTCAGCTGAACTTAGTCTACATGGTATATGGGAAAATTAATGTTGATACTTTAGTTCTTCTGAGTTCTCTTGCAATTTATGTTATATTATGAATAAGGAGAATAAACATTTTGTCATGAAAGTCCAAGCAATTATGCTAAAAGTAATCAATTTAATTCAGGGAGCAGTGAAGTAATTGATGAGAAGGGTGGATTGTCAGTCCAGAAAAAGAGTAAAGAGAGAAAGACTAAGGTACCCTTTGGTACTTGCCTGGCAGTGAATTCTATGAACAACAATACTAAATAACAACACTGCTAGTCAAGGCAGCATGACTGACTGCTAGAGTAAACCAAATACCCCCTTATTGTATTGGAGACCTGATGTGGGAGTGTCATATATCAATCTGTTGATTTCATTGGTTAAGTAATAAAGAAACTGCTTGGCCCTGATAGGTTAAAACATAGGTGGGAGGAGTAAACAGAACAGAATGCTGGGAGGAAGAGGAAGTGAGCTCAGAGGCCATGCTCCCCTCTCCCAGGCAGATGCAATGAAGCAAGCCACCAGGTTAGACATGCTTAATCTTTCCCAGTAAGACTGGTGCTACACAGATTACTAAAAGTGGGTTAGGCAAAATACGAGAATTAGCCCATAAGAGGCTAGAGCTAGTGGGCCAAGCAGTGTTTAAATGAATACAATTTGTGTGTTGTTATTTCTGGTGTAAAGCTAGCCAAGTGGAAGCTGGGCGGGACGAAAAGCAGGCCCACAGCTCTTACAACAGAGACCTGTTCCACAAAAAGGGTATCCATTCCTGATATTAAAAACTGGTTAAAAATAATGATTGAGAAGGTGTTAGGTACCAGATTTGACCTTATTACTATTGTTTGACTAAGTTGAAAAGTTTCCATACTTAATATTCATGCTTTTATACTTTGAAGAATGCTTCATTCAGTCTTAATCATTGTTCACATGTATGGTAGTTAATGCAGGGTCTCAGAGCTACTCAGATGCTTTCAATAAGTAATAGTTGAGAACTTGAGAACTAATAACTAAGGAGGACATTAAAACCAAACACTCAAATAACCATTGAACATACAGAAGATGGGTCAAATGAATGAGTCCGATAGAGAGGATTTTCATGAATTGTTTTCTTCTCGAACTTATTTTCATTGGTAACATGATCCAAATGAAGGCTAGCTGTCTAACCTTGACTAGTACAGTCTTAAACATATCAATAGCTTCTCGTGGATTAAAGGCGTGATTTACAAGGCCATATATTCTCTAGCTGAACAACTGACTACTAATGGATTATGGGGCAGGAGTAATCACTCCATTCTGTTGTAAACTCATTGATGAGTCTATCAAACTCCAAAGGATAGATAAACTCTTGGTCACAGAAGGCACATGTTAAATACTCTTTTAATCATGAAACAAAACAGTGCCAGATGTGAGAAAAGGAGTTGTCCAGAGGAGAGAGATTGACAGTTTGTGATAAGATGAGAGAGAGTAGAGAAAGGAGGGATTGGAATGCATGAAGTATGTTTATGAAATTACCAAAGAAGTTTAGTGACAGTAAAACAAGTTTAGTGACAGTATGTGAAATAAGAACTTCATTAACCTTCTAGTCATACTGCAATAGTTACCAATAGTCAGCATGGTAACTCATTTCCTGCCACATACATATTTCAGTAAAATTTATTTATAATTTAAAATATGATTTTTTCCACAAATTGTCAATTAGTGTTATAAAATCCAATTCTGCAACACATCTTTTTTATTGTTAGTATTTCGCATGAGAATGTAAATATATACTTTAAGGCTAAAATTTTATGATTTGATACAGAATTTTCAAGTGAAATATCTCAATAAAATGAACTTCCATAGCAAAATGATATATAATTTAAAATACAAAATAATTACATTAATAATGATATTTTAATTTAATGCTACAAATAACTAAAATGTTTTACACTTTACTGTTACTTGTCTGCAAATACAAGTATTTGGAGCTACATACTCAGGTTCTGTTAATGGTGTGGTTTCGTTTGGCTCATTCACTGGACTGCCATCTTCATGATTAGTGATTCTTTCATCCTCTGTTCTCATTTCCACTATTGGTTCTTTTGACCCATCTTTCCTAAAAAATAATATTAAGATATTTAATTCTTCAGTGTGTCAATTGCTCATTTGTTACACCATACACACACACACACACACACACAACACTTTTAAACTAACCCAACATAGTATATTTTCTTTTGAATTCATATTTCCACGATTTTTTACTATGTAACTGGAAATAAGTAATGCAGTCTCTTTTTATCATTACCGTTATATCTTTGTTACTGTTGCTTCCTGTTAGGAAAGGTAGTAAACATTTGTAAGTCTAGTGTCCAGAAACCAATTAGGAATATTGTAAATTTGAGGCCAGCTTTGACTATAGAGCAAGGCTATATTTCATAAAGATAAAAGAAAGAACATTATTTTGAAAAAATTAGCTTGCATTTTAAAATCTATGTTTTAAAAATTAAAATAACTTTTCTCTCCCCATCTCCCCTTACCTCCCCCCCCTCCCCCAAGATCAAACGGGATGTTTGGGATTAAGGAAGGTCGGATAGGGGAGCAGGGAAGCACACATCTTAATTAAGGGAGCCATCTTAGGGTTGGCAAGAGATTTGGTGCTCCCAGGTGCCCAGGGCGATGTCCCCAGTTAGTTCCTGGGGCAGCTGAGGACAGAGAACCTGAAATGACCCTATCCTATAGCCATACTGATTAATATCTTGCATATCACCATAGAACCTTCATCTGGTGATGGATGGAGATAGAGACAGAGATCCACACTGGAGCACCGGACTGAGCTCCCAATGTCCCAAGGAGGAGCAGAAGGAGGGAAAATATGAGCAAAGAAGTCAGGACCACGAGGGGTGCACCTACCCACGGAGACAGTGGGGCTGATCTATTGTGAGCTCACCAAGGCCAGCTGGACTACGACTGAAAAACCATGGGATAAAACCGGACTCTCTGAATATGGCGGACAATGAGGGCTGCTGAGAAGCCAAGGACAATGGCACTGGGTTTTGATCCTACTTCATGTTCTGGCTTTGGGGGAGCCTAGCCAGTTTGGATGTCCACCTTCCTAGACCAAGATGGAGCGGGGAGGACTTTGGACTTTCCACAGGGCAGGGAACCCTGACTGCCCCTCAGACTGGAGAGGGAGGGGGAGAGGAGTGGGGGGGAGGGGGAGAGGAGAGGGAGGCGGGGGGAAAAGGGAGACGGGGAGGGAAATGGGAGGCGGGGAGGAGGCGGAAATCTTTTTTTTTCAATAAAAAATTATATTTAAAAAAAATAAAAATAAAAAATAAAAATTAAAATAATTTATCGACAGCAATTTATAAATATTTTCTTGCCTAATTAGGAAAGAAAGTGAAAGATTTTAAAACAATTAAGAGAGGTATAGTAGCATTGGAGACAATCACTAGAAATATTCAGTTAAATGATCTTGGAAATAAAATATGCATGCCTTCCCAAAAATTGTAAGTTTATTTCATCAATAATATTCACCACATGTCTCTCTCTATATATAAAAATTATACACAGCAACAGCAAAACTAACAACAATCTTATTGATAGAGTTCACCAGACAAAGAGCAACAGGGAATTACTAGGGTGTAAACTACGAAGAAAGAAAGAGAAATTGTACAGTAAATTAATCCCACTCTTATTAATGTGTTACGTAAACTTTCAATCGAAACTAACTTCTGCCTATTGCCTTTTGTTTCAATCTAAAACTAAAGATATTATATTTGAAAGAAATGAAACTTTTCAAGTAATTAATTTATTTATTTATGACATGTTTTGTGAGAGGTGTGTGTGTTTTATAAATGTGTATGTATAGATGTGTGGGCACGTGTCTGTTGTGTGGATTTGTGGAGGATATATAAGATGATTTAATCTGAAATTCAAGAGACAGCCATAACAAAGCAAACTCGAAGATTAGCAAGGTAAGAAAAGCTTCAGTGAATAACAAAACCTTGTGTATGCATTAGTAATTATTAAATGTAACATTGCTGTATTGGTTTAATGATAACATGAAAATGTAGCACAATAGTAAACGCAAAAAAGGATCCATTCCTATGTGTCTAGCAGATATGGTTAAAAGATATTATGATTTGTAAGGAACACATGTCAATTTCATTTATCAATACTTGTGTAAACATAGGTGAAAAGTGAAATTACTGAAAAGAATCTGGATCTCACCATCAAGTCCATTAGAAGTTTAATTTAAAATAAGGAACATAGATAGCACTATTGTCAGGATTATAGAAAGCTACCTTAATGAATTTTTATAGATCAAAACTTCCAAAATAGAATCAAATGTAGGAAATTAAAGAATTTAAATAGATTAAATGTAAATGTGCATAGTTTTGAATGGCAATATTTGACATTCAAATGAATTAGGTAATCAGGAGAATAATTAAAGATTATATACAATAGATATGAATTATAAAGTAGCAGAAATAAAATGTAGAAAATGTTTTTGCTCTGTAGCATTTTGAACCTCAATTGAGAAAATGCAAAGTACATACTGTCCTGTAGTTATTTCTATAAAAAGTTTTATTAATTAACAATAGATGTGGAAAGGATCATTACTATGAACAGTGTTAAGTGAGGGACTAGCCTAGGAAACATAAGAAAGGAAGCTGAAAATATCAAAAAGAGAAAGTCTACAAACAGCATTCATCCATGGGGTCAGCTTCAGTTCTTTCCCCTAGGTTCCATGCTCTGTTTGAGTAACTAGCAGAATATGCATATGATTCTGATATACATCTAATCATATGCTATTATATACATAGTAAAACAGTACATAGTAGTTTATTTTCGAAATGATACTGAACAAGGACTAAGTTTAAAAAAAAAACATGTTTTAAGAGAATAAAATCCTACTATCAGGCAAACTAAATTAGTTAAATTTTATATCTGACTCTTACAAGGCTACAAGTGGGAAAAAATAGATAATATTAGATAATAAGAAGGAAACATTTTCTGAATAATCCCCAGAAGAAAATCAAGCTTAAGATGTAGTGGAGTGAGATAGTAATTTTATATAAGTACAAAACTGTCAAAGAATAAATTTAAAAATATTTAAAATATCCTGAAATGACCAAGCCCCAATGTAAGCATTCAATAAAAACTCCTAAAAATTATAGTGAGTGAAAGATGTACCAAGACACTACATACTGAAGCACACCTCCACATGAAGTTTTAAACCAGAAAAAAAAAAGCTAGTTGTGGAAAATTCAATTACTCGCAGTTGCCTGGGTTGGGATGTAGTGTAGCCTTGACTTGGAAAGAGCATAGGTCAAATTCTTGTAGAAGATTTCACAGTCTTGCTCCTTAGAAAGAATTTGTCAAAGATTTATTCATATTTGTGAGAATGCATCAGATAGAATATTCTCCATGTATATTTGTATGTACATATATTATACAGATTGAAGGCCTGCCCAGAGAGTAATATTTGCACTGTATTCTAGTTAAACACCCGATGTGGCTTAGAAAAAAGGGTCCAACAAAGCACACAAGATGAACCTGTGCTTCACTCATGGGAGAGAGTACTGGTATACTCACAGGTACGCCGCCTTTCCTTCTTCAAGTTCTTTACTTTTTCCACTGGAGCCACTTTTCTTCCCACACATTCTCCTAGTAATGCACATTAGTAACCCACATTGTCGAATGAAGAAGCAGCTGACATCTGTTATCACAAGGATTAGCAAGAGGGCAGCGACTCCGAGGCCAATAATGGCTCCTAGCCCAAGACCATTAAAAAGTGTGTCTTAAAAAAGAAAAAAAAAAAAAAACAAGCCTCATAAAACATCAAAATACACAATATGAACAACTATTCTTAAAGTAACTCCTAATAAGACTCTAATATACTCAAATATAGATGAAGGAAATAGTGGGGACTCACAGGTGTCAATAACTAGATTATTGGGACCTCTTGTCTGTCTAATAATCATATTTTATTACTGATTATAAGAAATAATGTTAAAAAGTTAAATATTTTTCAAATTATCTTTAAAAAGAAGATAAATAACTTCTATTCAACGTAGTCTTCAATTCATTTTAGGGAAGTAATGAATTTTATCATATCACAAACCATGCTTGACCAAAGTATTTTTATAGGTAATCATACTGTTAAAAAAACTATATGACTTTTAGCCGGGCGGCGGTGGCGCACGCCTTTAATCCTAGCACTTGGGAGGCAGAGGCAGGCGGATCTCTGTGAGTTCGAGACCAGCCCGGTCTACAAGAGCTAGTTCCAGGACAGGCTCCAAAACCACAGAGAAACCCTGTCTCGAAAAAACGAACAAAAACAAACAAACAAACAAACAAAAAAACGATATGACTTTTATTAGAGAAGGGTTATACAAGTGTTTAGTATGATGATATTTTGGCATTCGAACTAAAACTTAAATTGGATGGCTCCAAGGACTTGGCTTTGACAGAGGTGACAGATTCTTAAATTCCTGCAAAGGATAATTTTGAAATCATTACTTAAAAAACAAGTGGTTGCTTTTGTTTTGCAGGTAATATTTTAACAGATTAAAAGCATTATACAGGTATGATATTTAAGATACTTTATTAGTTGTTATATTAATAGGGTACATTATAACCAAATACATTCGGTAGGTACATTTCTTAGATGAGCCTATTTTCCTTGGTATTTGTTTATGGGTAGTACCGAGTGTTAGGCAGACTGTACCTGTGAAGAGGTGTCTGGGATGAGGAGGGGACAAAAAAGTAGAAATATTGAGAGTCCTATGTCTGTAGTTGAGTATGACAAGATTACACAGTCCTAACAGTGTAAGGAAAATAAGTACTATAGAGAATAAATTGAATATTGTATTACCTAGAGGAAAAGGAGGTGGTGTAATGGCTCCATACACTTGTCACTATGAATAGCAATATATTCTAAGAGCTGTAGGACACTCTTAAATTGTACAGCTCTTTAATGATAAAATATATTTATTATCAAAAATAAAAAATGGTCCTTTCATAATTAATAAGGAACCAAAAAAAAGATATATATTATTTTATCCTACATACATAGATGTATAGATCATGCTTAAAACTAAAGGTTTATCTTTAAATCCTATGTAAGCTCCATGGATTGCTTGCTGTACATGATCGAGAAACCAAATTTTCAAAAACTGTGTTGAAAAGAAATTACAAATGAGGTGAGACTTTATACTTCACTTAAATTCCTCTCATAGTTAAACAAAGCACATGACAATAAATTCTACAAATCAGTGTTACTCTGCCTGCTGAAAGACAAATCTCACATATGTCTGTTCTAATGATAAATCACTGCTTTGTCCTACAATCCAAAGCATCAGAAGACAGAAAATCCATGTTCAAAGCACAATTGTATTACATAGATATAAAGCTCTATCTCCTTTTTCCAATCCTAGGATTCCTCCTTATTTAAATGAGCACAGTTATGCAAACAAACACTAGACAGCAGCAAAAAGGCATGTGGGAGGATGCTGTGTCTGATAATGAACTTAAGCGTCCTCGTGTGAAGATTCAACAAGAATCATCTTTTACTCTCATTGCTTCCATATTATCCTTTAAACAAATTGTTAAACCACATTGCCAATATTTAAACATGAAGCTAAGCTGCAAAGGTGTCTCTGTTCATCTCAAGCAATGGGCAGGCAGAATCTCTTATTAAATATTGATTACTCTTTAGAAAACAAATTTTACAACATAACCAAGGAAGCCTAGTTAGCTTTGCAATAATGAATATTTTGTGTATAATATTTTGGGAGTTTTATAGGTGTATTGATAGCCATTTCTATCTTTAGAAAAATGTTATTTGTAAAATGTTTTATATAATTTATAATAATGATAACTGATGTCAAAATAGTTTTAATTTCCCAGAAAAACAAAATTAAACACTTTAAATATGAGATTAAATATACAATATTAGAATTATTTTCATGTAAAAGCAAAATAAATTTTGCTACCAAGATGATAAAAAAATGTTTATATTTTAAATATTTAGTTTCTATTTTTCTTCTTTTATTATGAACTAACATATACATTTAAATGCTTAAATTTTTCATACATAACATTGTATAACAGTGATTATGAAGACTACATCTTCATTTTCCTGAAACTAATTTACTTTGGTACAACACTTTATTTATAACTTGGATTTGCAGACCTACATTTACATACATATATTTATCATAATATTTTGATTCAAAGTCTAACATGAATTTGAAAGGCATAAAAAATTTATTGTATAAGTTAGCAGTGTAATTTAATTGTTTTGAAAACTGGAATGTAACACAAAGCCATCAATTCAAGTATTTGAAATTCATATTTGCACTCACTTTTATAATACTTATTGTGACATGTTACAATTTCATGAAAAATTTATAACATAGGAAAGCAATGTTTTTATATTTCTACCTTATTTGAACGAAAACTGAGGTCCGAGGAAATCTTTGACGTTGAACAAAAATATTGTAGAATAAAGACACCTTTAACCCAAGGTGTTCTACAAATAGTTACAAATACTACCAACATAGTAGATTTCACCACATAAAGATATAGAAAATATTTAATGCATTTTACTTTATCATTAATCGAATAAAAACAATTTAATGGCTAGTAGGGTCAAATGAAGAATATAAATTACATAATACATTTCTGTCAAAAGCATTTTTATATTGATCTTTCACATTATTCTATAAAAATTAATTTTTGTTAGAAATGTACACAATCAAAATGTTAATTATAGAGCATTAAGTTGCTATATTGGCTTATGTTTACTTCTCAAATCTAATGAAAGAACTACTGAGCAGTTTCTGTATTCCATTTCTCAGATCCATTGCTGAGAAACTCCAACTCCAATAAATTTAGAAATTAGATACCCAAGTTTCTCAAGTAATTACAAATTTGTGTTCTTGCTTCAAACAAATCACAAGTCAAAGCACTAAAATAGAAAAAGGGAGTTAAATTCAAATTTGTTTTATACATGTCATATATTCCTATTATAAAAGACATGCACTACTGAAACAGTGAATTATTTTATATCAAATTTATTATCATTGATATATGTATATTAGTTTTAAAAAAACACTGTTCTAAAAGATTCAGAGTATCCTTACTTTTGACTTTTTATTTTAGAACTTAAATGCTATTCTATTTATTTGTGTAAATTTATTTTGCCCTAAGTTTATTAAATTTTTTTCAGGACTTGGCAAGCCTTGATAATGACATAGTGAACAAGTTCTAAGTTTTATTTTAGATATTCATTATTAATTTCATTAAAATTTTCTCAGTGCTGTAAAAAAAAAAGTAGGTTACAAGTACAGAAAACAGGGCAGATACTCAAAAAATTTAGGTTTTCATTGTGTTAATACACAACTATACTCTTTGTTCTCACATTAGAGATGGGTCTTTATAATTCCTTGGTATATGCTGCTGATTAAACAAGGTAGGACAACACACTTTTAAATATCAATTGATAACTTCACTATCAACGTATACAGATACACATATATCTCTGCTCCATGCAGAAGAGGTTGCAAACATAAATGTGATGTGCATGTGTCTTGTATCTCAATGGAATTTTGTCTATTGGAGAATAAAGAAGGAATATCTAAGTTTTTATTATGTCCAACAGAAGTAAATTTAGTGTTGATTTTTGAGCAATTCTGAATTAAAAATTTAAATTAATTGATGGTGCTTTAATATTCTTTTAAAAACACGATCATTGAACCTCAAATGTTTGAGAATGTCTTGTGTAACAAAAGAAATTTGAAATATGGATACAATGCAATAAAGGATACACATAAATATTAACTGTTCTGGAAATGTTTTAGAAAGTATATGCTGGAAAAGAGAAGCAGGGAAGAGAGAAAAATGCATAGCTCAATAAAAACAATAAAAAGTAAAAATAAAAATAAAGATATATCTCATAACGCATATTCAAATGTATCTTCCTTAATTGTTATTTGTATAAAAGAAAGGCTCAATTAACTCAAATTTAAATTCTATGAGAATTGCATATTAGAATCTTAGGGATGAGATGTGTTAAAGAAACAGAGACTGGCATATAGCCTCTAGCAACAGGCTTCTTTCAAGAAGAGTTTCATCACTTCTGTTCCACATTGCATGGCTGTGACCAAGAAGCATTGCAGAAATGAAGAAGCCTAATTTCAGGGCACCAATAAAGAGATACAAGAAAATCATTCAAGGTTGTAGAAAAAGGAGATGTCCTACTGCACTATAGGCAGACATGGATGTTAGAATCTCCAGAGAATAAGCAGGCAGAAGATGTATAATAAACATGAAGATTGCTGAAAAACATCCAAGATTTAAGGGCAAACAAAATACATACTTTTGTTAAGAAGGAAAAAAAAATGTCTGGATTCTGAGGAAAGATCCATGTGTGCTGTGTAAAGAGCTCTCAGCTTCCAGTGAGAAAAAAATGACAACCATAAAGTAAAAATCAGAAAAAAAAAGGCTCAGAAAGTCTGCCCTTATTTTCAGCAGGAATATTTTTTAAATGATCAAAAGCTGGACTGAATATTCCATAAAAAGATATCTACATAATAGCAATAGTGGGAGGAGACTGGAAAAACTGAAGGGATTATGGCACTCAAAAAGAAATTGCCTAGGAGAGCGATCTTGTAGATTCAACCAATCAGGCAAACAAAAGCTACTCCAGCTATGATCCAAGAATTTTGTTCAGGGACCACGCAGAAACCGTAGGAATTGGCAACATTTCAATATGAACTTTTTACACATATAAGG